CAGGTTGGATGGTGCACAGCTATTTTCAGATTTCTTCAGAGAATCAGGTTCAAACTTTGGCTCTTGCTGGTCACTTGAGGACCTTCACAGTGGTCCTGCAGCCACTTGTTTTTATCTTGGCCGTGTGCTTGGGGGCTTGTCCTGTATAAAATTAACCTAATGTGAATCTAATGTCCGGTGCTCTCTGGAGAAGCTTATCATCAAGGACGTCTCTGTACATTGCATTCATCTTTCCCTCGACTCTGACTTGTCTCCCGGTCACTGCTGCTGACAAACATCCCCAGAGCATGATGCTGCCACCACCATGCTTCACTGTAGGGATGGTATTGGTCCGGTGATGAGTGGTACCTGGTTTCCTCCGGACGTGATGCTTGGCATTCAGAGTTAAGAGTTCAATCTTTGTTTCATCAGACCAGAGAATTTTATTTCTGATGGTCTGAGCATCCTTGGGTGCATTTTGGTAAACTGAGGAGTGGCTTCAGTCTGCTCACTCTACTAAACAGGCCTGATTGTTGGAGGGCTTCAGAAATGCTTGTCCTTCTGGAAGATTCTCCTCTCTCCACAGAGCAATGCTGGAGCTCTGTCAGAGTGACCATCACTCCTTGACTAAGGCTTTTCTACCTCAAACTCTCTAATTGGCGAGGTGCCTCAACACAAGCCTGTCTCAGAGCTCTACAGACAATTCCTTGGATCTTCTAAGTCTAGTCATGCTCCTATTACAGGGAAAAATAAATCAGATTAATCTTAGTAAAAACTCACCATCATAACAGAAGAAAGGATTTTTGTTGTTGCATTCATCAGAGCTCCATTTTCCTGATCTGTTTAACAGAGTCACAGCACATTTCCTGTTGTTTTGTCCATCATAAAATAACTCCATATCCCAGTGCCTGAAAGAGAAATTACTTCCATCTGACCACCTCCAGGTGTCTCTGAACAGGCCGATCCACACAGTCATCGGAGAGCTCTGAGACTCCTTCAGGATCTTAAATTCTTCCCCATCCACCTGATCGAGTCCACTGGCCAGGTCAGTGCAGTGATCTCTGCAGTAGTTCTGAGCCTTTGTCCAGGTTATCTTCTTCTCAATCAAATGGATCGATTTACCGTCTCTCTTCTTTCCTGTTAAGCAAAACATCAAAACAAAAAAAAATTTCCATCACCACAAACATTTGAAGAAATACAGAAAGACACATAATTTGTATGATTCCTCAAACATGCTTTCTCTCCATTTCTCTTTCAGGTCAGTTATATTATCAAATCAGACTATTATCCACATATTCTCACCATCGTAGCAGATGAACCACAAAGTGTGGTCACATCTGGCATGTGTCCAGTTTTCTCTTGTCTTCACACAGTTCTCATATAGATCATCTGGTTGAGAAGGTCCCCATCTGGTTTCATGTTCAGTGTATTTCACCCCTGGCAGAGACCAATGCCACATCCTGTTTTCTTTTCCTGGGTTGCTGAACAGTCCAATCCAGGCTTTACCTTCATACTCTGTGGATTCACGCAGTCTCGCCATGTCTGCCATGTCAAACACGCTGGCCAGGTCTGCA